GTACTCTATGCTTCTCATTTACTTGGTTTAGCGTAACTTCTTGCTCTAATGTACTCTATACTCCATTTACTTGGTTTAGCGTAACTTCTTGCTCTAATGTACTCTATGCTTCTCATTTACTTGGTTTAGCGTAACTCCTGGCTCTAATGTACTCTATAACTTCTCATTTACTTAGTTTAGCGTAACTAAAGAAGACGGATTTAAGCTTCCCTCGGCAACAAGATGAATTCTTTTATAGAATTATAGTTGACAACGCATCTCACAATATGGTGGTTCAAGGACAGAAGGATTTTCCCGGTTACTAAATACATCACGAGAAGGTTTGGTTGTCCAGTAAATATTCTATATCCGTAAAGTAGCTTATTAAAAAATTGAAAATGCTGATATTTTCCATGATCAAAAATAGTGACTAGTAATAGTGAAAAGCTTTGTATGAGTAAGAACGAATGAGATATCCATGTTCTTATCTTTAAAAAATTAATGCTTTAAAATCGTGTTGTTTTTTAAAAGTGATTTAAGGATTTCGGCTGTAAATAAGTAATGAAGGAAATTTTCTGAATTTATCTTTTTATGCTAGGAAAATGACAATATCTTCCACATTAATATTGAGATAAAGGTTTAAATAGGATTTATGGATGTTAGTAGAAGTTACAATGACTGTCTCTTTAAGTCTCAGACTTGAAATCGAATTAAGATTAGGTAAACATAATTAAATTCGTTCCGTCGCGTCTCTTCATTGTTTAGCTTGGTTTACCGTATCAACGTCAAATATTCAACCCACACTGGAACAATAAACATTAACGCTGCACGCAGATTTAACAGTTCGGTCCTTAACCCGGCAAGTTGTGACTTTAGATCACAATTTGACTAACTGAACATAAGGTTTCTCTTTTACATTTTTTTCGGCCAATCCTTATTAAATAAAATGAAAAAGTGAAAAGACAGGTCCGTTACTTTTAAAATGATTAAGTTATAAACCAAAACGCAATCGCAGTCGAAAGGAACATTTAAAAGAGATATTAGGTGATGATATGAAAAGGATGAGTAGAGATCTAGGGTTATTTTTAAACATATCATTTTCACAGTTTGTCAGCTAATTTCCTTTTAAAATAAATACAGGGCGTACACAGGGATATGTCCAGGGGAGGCTTAATTTTTTCCTGGGGGGGGGGGGGTCTCAGCACCCGTTGGGGCCTAACACCTCTTTGGAAACCATAGTTACTCATCCAGGGGGGGAGCTGATCCCCCATAGCCCCCTTCCCAGTAGACGCCTACGATGAAATAGTAAGCAGATGTGCTGTGTTTTTTCTAATGTACTTAAATACTTTATAATGATAGATGCATATATTGTCTAGTCAACTTGAATAGGGTGCACTCATAGAAGTGCATACAAATACAGTTTAGTGCAAAACCTGACGAATAGTTGCAAAACTCATTAAATGTTTAACAGAGGGCGAAACTTTTGAATCTTTAATTGGTTTACAGGTTTATTTTCCTCTCACAGGCTTAAAGGTTTACAGGGTACTGTTGTGAATCTAGTGTTGTCATTTTTACATAGAGGGTCACGTGAAGTGCCTTTACTCATCTCTTGGTTGGTTTCATGTATATCCACGTGAAGTGCCTTTACTCATCTCTTGGTTGGTTTCATGTATATCTTCTAATTCAAAAGTTTAGACTGAGGTTAATCGGTATCCAAATATTAATTTCATCCTCAGGTTATGGTTCTAGAGAATATCACCCCTCAATTATATCAAAATATTTCATTCTAATTATTCTGATTATCCGCCTCAGCCATTTTTTCAAGGCTCATTCTCTTCCGTAAGGAATCGGGTTTTTGCCACAAATTCAGATTTTCTCCACTCATATATAGATAAAATAGTATAAAATAGAAAGGTTTACACCAGCAGGATGCAATTAGATATATATCAGTTCCTTCGTTTTAGAGTTCGAAATAAAACTTGGATCAATGAAAAATAGTTGCCATTAATTCTTAATTTTATTTTATTTACTTGCCCAAATTGATTGTTTTTTGGTCTTTACTTGTCGTAGATTCATTTAGCATTATCTTGGTTTAAACATTTTATTTATTTTTAGATTTGAATATTCAAATTTTCAATGTCTTTCATTTTCTTTCATTTCAAAATCATCTCGACTAGATAAAATATTTAAAATGGTATTTCAGACAATCAAAGCTAGCTGCCTGGTAACAAAATCTGATAAAAATGAAGAAGAATTTATGCAGTTGATTTTTCTTGCGTTAAAAAAATACTGTAATTGCTTAAAAATGTTACTGAAATACAATTTAATCACGAACATTTTTGAACATTTTTTCAACTCGACAGAAAGTTTCTCATTTTTTAAAGTAAACGCCATTAAACATATGTATAAAAACTGAATTATTGAAATCTTAAAATTTTGTTTTACACCCTGTACTGTAAACAGCATTTATAGATTTAAGGTTCTGTCATTTTGCCGCCTGTGTAATTTATGCATGTTTAAAATAAAATGTAGAATCCTAAACTCGTTGACATAAAAATGTCCATTAATTTTACGTGCTCCCTGAACATGAACATAAAAAAATCATCAAGCCACATCCAATAGCATAAAATATAATGTGCTTTTTTTCCACCGTAAATCTTGATTTCTGCCTCTGCTTTACAATTAATAGTGGATAAAGTATGAAGTATTGATGTATGCTGTATAGTCTTCAGGTCGATAAATTGTACAAACCAAGGCCCGGGGCAGGGATTTTGGATAAATTTGATGCAATTATGAATTATTGTTACCGATTTTATAGACACACCAAAGAATAATTCATTAAATAAACGTCTAAACCGAATGTGCCCTATCTTTTGTGGCAACTCATAACCGCAAGGGAAGTTTATGGAATTGTTAGTTTTGAAAAAAAGCTTCCACTTTTAAGGAATTTTTAAATTCCAGATGTTATTGCAACGATGTTGAATTAGAATATTACGGCGACTTTCATTATGCATGGTTTTCAAATTCATTACTTAAATCACTAGACAATAGACATGGCTTAGTGTGCGGCTTGAAGTAGATTCGTAATTATTCAACTTAATCTTTTGAACCATGCATCCTTTTTCTGTGTTTTAATCACAATTTGTGTCATGGTCTTAACTGGGCTGTAGGATTAATTTTAATGACCTCCAATTTAAAGCCTAATTCACAACGGTACCCTTTATCGGATTACCAATCAGGAAGATATGATATCTCTCAATTTCCATCTTTTTTGCTGCATAAATTCGGAGGCAAACTTTTTAGAGAACAGCCATAAAAACTTATAAATGTTCATACAGAAAAACAAGAATCATTTTACAGTTTTGCTTAATTGGTACCATACTGTGAATCTGGCATGGAACTTAAAGATCACTGGGAATTACTTCTGCAATCCCTTTAAGACAATAGTTGCGATTAATCAATCAGTTATTAAAGTTGCGATTGCAATGCAATATGAAATTGTTAAATACTGTGGTATCTGTAGCTAGAGGGGAGGAGGTGCGGTCGAAATATAATCTAGCTTCTTCTATACATCTAAACCGAATAGGATAACGGGATACAGATTAAACATCTAGATTCTAGATTCAAAAATACAATTCAAACAATTTAAAGTTGCAACTAAAATATTTCAACATTCATAGTTCAAGCTAGAACCAAATTTCAAAGTTACGATTGTACTTATGATACTATGAGTACAATGGGAAAGTTACGGTGAGATCTAGAAGATTTAATAACATTTATCAGATTTAATTTACATTCATTTAAAAAAGAGTCATAAGATTCCACTCAAACAACAGTTATCTAGATATATATAAAGTCGTAATCTCTGTGTGTTTGTTATGGTGTCTGTCTATCTGTTAGTTTGTTTGTCCGATCATAACTCGGGAACCCCTGGTCCAATTTGCATCAAATTTTGAGTGGGGGACTCGGGAGAGCCACGGGAATGTTTTGGTATGGTTTTGAGATTCTTAGTTAAGTAGGTCGACTTTTATCGGGAAATATAGCTAAAATCGTAATTAAAGATCAAGTGCAGGTAAATGGCGGGAGTAACTATGAGTAAACTGCGCAATACTGGGTTCCCAAGCTAATGATAAGATACAATTAGAGTTATAAGTTTAAACTAGAACTATTTTTATTATTAGATTAAAGCAATATACGAAGCAAAGTGCAAATACTAAAGTTTTGAAATATGATTAACTTAAAAACAATGACTCGGTAATCACTGTAACTACTAGAGATGATTAAATCTATACATTTTGATTCAGAGCTACATAACTATAACTGCAATGTTGTACAAGTTTGATCAGGAAATTGTCAATAGAAAAATGACATTTTGGTAAATAGTGAGTGATGATAAAATAATCAGTGAAGTAGGTACAGCATATTTATTTTGTCCCAATTAAGGGGAAAAAAAAGCTTAAACAATTCCAAACAATAAGCAGATAATTCTCTTCAAAAGATTTGTACTAAGATTCAACGAAACTTTTCTAAAAAAACGAACTGAACTGAGATGAAAACTTTAGTATGGTGGATATTGAGATCAATGCTTGATCTCCTGTTTTTCTTAATCTTCAGATTAAATAATGCTTGTTCTCCTCTTCTACTTAATCTCCTGATTAATTAACAGAACGGGATTAAGGAAATCTCAATCTAAATTTTTCAGGTCTGGAAACTCTTGTGTTAGATACCCTTAGTCCCGTTCGCTTAATCTCAATATTTACTGTGGACACTTTTGATTTTCTACTTAATCATATCTTTTGGCTATCCCCTGCTAAATTCCAACCAATGAGAGTTATCTCGGAAAATTTCCCGGCTTCTGATTGGCTGTTCGGTTTATGCAAACGACACTCTAATTGGGTTATTTTTAGACTTTCCTGGATATAAAAGTAAAGATTATATTAATCTGCAGATTAACAAAAAGAGGAGATAAAGTATTAATCTCAACAAGAACCATTCTAAAGTTTTTAGCTCTGATTTTCTAGTTGAGATGGTGTTGTGTTCTACTGAGCTTGTTCTCCAGCTACCCTGATCTAGGGGAGGGGAGAGAGGATGGTTCTAGGTGGAGAAGGGAGCTGAGAGAGGACAGATCCTTGGTTAATTCATTCCCTTTCAACCTTGCTGAGGGAATACGAGATAATCTGATCTCCAGGTAAGATTTGAATATTTAAATTAGGATCAAAATATTTTTAAAATTTTACAGAGAGCAAAACGAAAGGGTTTAAAAGCGAAGATCAAATTTTTTAAAAGATATATTTCGCAGAGGAACTGATTACTCTCATCAAACTCAATTTGCCTATTCCCATTTTTTTTTAAAATAATGTCGTGTAAATTTATATGTCTTCACTAATCATCTTGCAAAAACATGATAAACACATTGTACATCCTTTTTTCATAAAATAAATGCTAGCATTACAATGCTAATTCTTAACAAAGACGACCTCGAATTAGTGACTCAATTACCATTTATAATTATATAATCAAAGCTTGAAATATCAAAATATATTTAAGGCTCACTCCACTAGAAAGAAGGAGAAGGTTAAAGGAATTGAGTCTTAGTAAAAAAAATCTGATTTTGTAATTTCTATATCTTTGCTTAGACCTTTGATATTTCAATCTATGAATAATGTTAGATTAAATAATCGAAGTTTAAGATATCAAGGGTTTACATCATAAGGTTTCGAAGATATAAGGATTAGAATAATTGAGTTTGTGACAAAGACTCTATTACTAGCTTTATGATTATTATCTATATAATAAAATTTTCAACATTTTTTTCCAAATTTTTTTTTCAATTTTCTTTCAATTTTTTTTACGGGCAACGCCGGGCCCTTCAGCTAGTGTTTAGATGATTAAAAATGAAATATTTCAATCAAACGTAAAATTTATTTTAATTAGAGGTGAAGGAATAAAAATTTCAGAGTTTGAGATGAGTATTCAGCTACTTAATGGTTTCCTGTTGCTGTATTGTTATTTCTTTTCGTTACCACGTTTTTAAAAAATACTTTACATGATTACGTTAATGTAGAAAACCTTATTTTATATTTATATTTTGCAATTTGAAGAGTTATAATAGGTCATCATTATATGTGGTCTAATCTTTTGCCCGTTTAAACATAAATATTTTTTATTACTTATCATAAAATGAACGAGCCTGCATTTAAAGAGGAAAATGCCTTATTCAAAACAGTACTCTTAAAAACTTTGTCCGATAAGGTATGAATTAGATATTAATGTTTGTAGTTCTGAATAATGGACGTATATTTTCATTTCTGGTTTCTCTACAAAAGTGACTTCCGCATTTCTACTGCAGGAAAACATATTGGAATTATCAAATTCCAACACTTTTAAACCTAGTAAAACGGGCTTTGTCATATTTTAATGCAGGGTCCCTTGAAGTTACGCTTACCGTCCCTTTAAGGTTTTTAAGAGTACGTCGATATTAAAATAAATTTTAAAAATTTATGAATTATCATTATAGCCATATGACAGTTATTATTACTTTACCCTTTCAAGGATTAATGAGGTAAGTTATATACAAGATTACTTGAGATTACATGACATTGCAATTCCTGGCTTCAGAATATAACCAAGTTCTAGCATATGCTACTCGAATTAAATTCATTCAAAATGAATCCGTTATCGTACATTATAAAATAGACTTATCTATCTATAGATCTATATTTTTGTTGAGTCCTGTTTGCTTTAAATTAAACGCATTTAAAGGGACCCACCATGCAAAGATGACAATGCACAACGGTATCCTTAAAACTTTAACTCAATCAAAAATGTCGAAAATCTGTTAATTTGTCCATCGCTTGAAATTACGTTTACAGTCCCTTTAAGGCTTAAAGTTTGTTTTGCTTAGATTGATTTTAAATAACAGAACATAGCATGACTGATTTTGTTACGTACATACCTGGCATGAAATTTATGGATTAACTAACTCAAAATTTTAACATTATTTATTCTTCAACGAAAAAAATTACAAAAAATGCAATAAAGAATTTTAATAATTCATACATCATTTGTAATGAATTTAGAAATTTAAAATTAATTTAAAGAAATCTTTATAGATATAGATATATAAGATAGCTTACCAAATACAAAATTTACTAGATAACTTACCAAATACAAAATTTACGAGATAACTTACCATATATAAAATTTACGAGATAACTTACCAAATACAAAATTTACGACTGAAATGTCAATTTGATAATTTCATAAACAAGTAAAATAATTCTTAAATTAACGATTGATGGAAAATGTTCTTTTTCCTTTTCAACCATTCAATTCTTTTTCTTTTCATCTTATTAAAAAAATCAAATAAAATACTATCTTCCAGGGCGCTCCTGAACTTTTTAATCCACAAAACAAGATTTTTAAGTTCTTGTATTTTGAATTATGTGTAGTATCTTTTAAGTCTGCAGCTACCATACAACGAAAATAGGAAAAATGTTTTTTCGTCGATCCTGCAATGTATTTTTCTAAACTTCAAAAGATAGTAGATTGGTTTATTTAGTTTCTAGAATTGTACGTATTCAGAAAACATGAATAAAGATGTTTTTACCTTGATTTAAGTCTAATGATTCGAACACTTGACCGGGACCGCAGATCATTGTTTTCTAAAAAATGTTTTCTTGATTTTAGAAGGAACTGTGTTCCTATTTCTAAATGTGATTTCAATATTAATCAAATATTTTCTCTTTCATGAAAAAGAAATGAAATTGTGCTATTTGAAGCATGTAAAATGTACATTTTGTTCTTTGTTATTTTTAGTGCAAAAATTCTGATCCACGTAGATAAATATATAAACAATTTTACAAATGTATTTCTTAATCTTTTTAACTCTCGAGCTCATAAAGCCTCTTTGAATACTTAGGTTATCTAAAATAAATAATATTTAATAAAACAATTCCAATTTCAGATTTTGTTGAATTGTATCCTTTAAGTAATATAATACATATATCTATATTAAACTAACTGGACTTTTAGGGTGCATCCATGTAATCGCATCGCTCATCTTTATTTTGACTTTAAATTTTAGCTGTCTGTGAGCATTTTCTCTTTGTACATATTAAAAACAAAAACAGTTCGTGGATTTCAAGATTTTTTTTCAGGCATTTTTAAAATTTTACAAGAAAAAAAACTTTTGGACACCTTTTTTGTTATTTTGAGCATCCTTATTCCTTCCCTGGGGCCATGTGAGGTCCCACAAAAAATTTGGGCCGGATCGGTTCAGCCGCTTTGACGTTTATTGGATACAAACAGACAAACAAACACTCAGACAAGAAAAGTATGTACATTTAGATTTCAATAATTTTCATTTAATTTAGGCAGACAGAAGACGAGGTTTCGGTCAACTTCAATAAAGTTGCTCAGGCTGGTCAGCGATGCATTGACAAGGTCAGTTTAATAGATATATAGATAGATAGATAGATAGATAGATAGATAGATAGATAGATAGATAGATAGATAGATAGATAGATAGATAGATAGATAGATAGATAGATAGATGCAGATAGATTAGTAGTTTTATAGATAAACAAGAATGATAAAAATGATAATGATAATGTAGCAAATATCGTAGCAATCTCTATATTTGTTAACCTGAACCTAAATATATTACGTTGTACATTGTCTGTAAATCTACATGCACTTATCATTAACTACGCAAAACTTGTAATGCAATTAACCTACCTAGATACGTCTGTAAAACCTGTATTGTGATTAGCTTAACTACTCCTATATATATATCCGCGCAAATCTTGTGAATACGTATATGAACTTAACCTGTAACATAGATATCTAAATACACGTTAGTTGGAATAGACTCTATTTAGATTACAGCAAGAGAAGTAATTGTTCCTCGTTTAGCAAACGCGTTCATGAGATTGTGTCCATGTTGGCATTGATAGTGTACCAGATTGTGTCCGTGTAAAGATTGATAGTTTATGAGATCGTGTTTGTGTTGAGATTGATAGTTTATGAGATCGTTTTTGTATTGACATTGGTTGGTAGATTATGAGATTGTTTCCATGTTGACTTTGATAGTTTACAAGATTGTGTCTGTATTGACATTGATAGTTTATGAGATCGTGACCGTGTTGACATTAATAGTTTATGAGATCTTGTCCGTGTTGACATTAATAGTTTATGAGATCTTGTCCATGTTGACATTAATAGTTTATGAGATCGTGTCCGTGTTGATGTTGATAGTTTACGAGATGGTGTCCATGTTGACATTGATAGTTCATAAGATCTTGTCCATGTTGACATTGATAGTTTATGAGATTGTGTCCGTGTTAGCATTAATAGTTTATGAGATCGTGTCTGTGTTGACATTGATAGTTTATGAGATCGTGTCCGTGTTGACATTAATAGTTTATGAGATCTTGTCCGTGTTGACATTAATAGTTTATGAGATCTTGTCCATGTTGACATTAATAGTTTATGAGATCGTGTCCGTGTTGATGTTGATAGTTTACGAGATGGTGTCCATGTTGACATTGATAGTTCATAAGATCTTGTCCATGTTGACATTGATAGTTTATGAGATTGTGTCCGTGTTAGCATTAATAGTTTATGAGATCGTGTCTGTGTTGACATTGATAGTTTATGAGATCGTGTCCATGTTAACATTGATAGTTGACGAGCTAGGGTCCATGTTGACATTGATAGTGAAGTGTTGTTGAACTAATAGCTCTTATTCCTCCTATACCATACCAACGAGAGGAATTGAGTTTTCTTATCAATCTTTGCTGCAATCCTTAATTTAAAATTAAACTTTAGAAAGAAAAGCAATTTATCTTCATTTTTATGGAGACAAAGGTTTAAATGATGTCAAATTGTGATTGTGCATAACTCTTTAAATTAATGGTTTCTTCTAAATAAACTTTATAAAAATCCCTTATTTAAACAACATTTAAAAAATTTCACTTGTTTTCATAAAAATATCGAAATATTATAAAATATTGCTTTGTAAACTCATAAAATATTTTTCAAAGAAATCTAAAATATTACGTTGTCTTAAAAATCTGTAAAATAGTTTGTTGAATAATATTTGTGAAACAAATATCAGTCTTGAACCAAAATATTGCATGCTGCTTCTGTTACCTAGCCAGCCAGCAATTCGGACAGTAATTACATCATAATTTTTTTCACCTCCACATAAATATATTACTCCTATTACTGCCTAGCTAGCAATAACATCGTAACTTTCTTCACCTCCACATAATTGTATTGCTCCTGTTACTACCTCCTTAGCAATAACATCATAATTTTCTTCACCTCCACATAAATATATTACTCCTATTACTGCCTAGCTAGCAATAACATCATAACTTTCTTCACCTCTACATAAATATATTGCTCCTGTTACTACCTCCTTAGCAATAACATCATAATTTTCTTCACCTCCACATAAATATATTACTCCTGTTACTACCTCCTTAGCAATAACATCATAATTTTTTCACCTCCACATAAATATATTGCTCCGGTTACTACCTAGCTAGTAATAACTTCATAATTTTCTTCACCTCCACATAAATATATTGCTCCTGTTACTACCTAGCTAGCAACAATCATCATAATTGTCTTCACCTCCACATAGATATTGCTCTTGTTACAACCTAGCTAGCAATAAAATTGTAATATTCTCACCTCCACATAGATATTGCTCTTGTTACTACCTCCCTAACAATAACATCATAATTTTCTTCACCTCTACATAGATATTGCTCTTGTTACTACCTAGCTAGCAATAACATTGTAATATTCATCACCTTCACATAGGTATTGCTCCTGTTACAACCTAGCTCGCAATAACATCATAATATTCTTCACCTTCACATATATATTGCTCTTGTTACTGCCTAGCTAGCAATAACATTGTAATATTCTTCACCTCCACATAGATATTTATATATCTGCATAAAACAAAATAGTAGAGTTCAAATTGAAATATACATTCTTTGAGTTCAAAACATGATTTATGCCAAATTCCAATGAAAGGATGAAAGGACAAGTTAAATAATTAGGTGAAAGGATGAAAGGACAAGTTAAATAATTGGGTCAAAGGTTGAAAGGACAAGATGAATAATAAGGTGAAAGAATAAAGGGAAAAGTTAAATAATTAGGTGAAAGGATAAAAGTTAAATAATAAGGTGACAGGATGAAAGGAGAAGTTAAATAATTGGGTGAAAGGATGAAAGGACAAGTTAAATAATTAGGTGAAAGGATGAAAGGACAAGATGAATAATAAAGTGAAAGGATGAAAGGACAAGTTAAATAATTAGGTGAAAGGATGAAATGACAATTTAAATAATTAGGTGAAAGGATGAATAACTAGATAAATAAATCTAAAACTACTTGATTTTTTCAGATTGTGATGGAAGAGGAGACTGAATACGACGAAGTACTTGAATGTGACCACTCCTACGACAGGAGGTGTCACATATCCTACTCCACCAGCTACACTGCCCAACAGGAGGAGGAGTGCGAGGATAATTACAAGAAGAATTGTTTTATTAAATATTCTCCAACAGCATTCAATGCTACAGTGGAAATATGCAGGTTTATAAGCCAACGTTTTTTCTCTTTGCTCTTTCATATGATAACACATAATGTTAAAATCTCAGAATCAACTTTACTCCACTAAACACTAAATCAATCTTGTTTATATTGGCTGTTTCCAAAATGATTTTCTTCAAAAGCTATTCAAAATAAAAAAAAAATAAAAACTTATCTTATCCGTATCCGTAAAAGGTCACTAAGTAAGTGCTATAATTTTGCACAAAATCAACGTTTTCCTATTTTCACTTATACCGGTGAATCCCCTCCCCTTGTAAATCAAGATTTCGCAGAAGTTTTCCCATTCTTCTCAGAAAGTGTACGCAATAATGACGTAAAAGAATAATTCTTATTAATAATTGCGTTCTTGATCTTTCACTATAATAATATTTTAAACCATGAACTTTAAATCTAACTTCAAGTGACTTTCCGTTTAAGGGGTGATACAAAAGATGACTTATCTATGCAAATAGAGTGCCTGGAAATCTGAGGTTACAGTTCATTTTCCATCCACTCAAACTTTATCGACAAACTTAGGGATATTTCCGCCATCTTTAATCAGACCAAGGTTCAAAGGGTACTCTTGAGAATGGGAAATGTCACTCTTTAAATGAAGGTTTACTAGAAATTACGTCCACATGTTCCCTAAACCTTGTTTTTCTACAGAGAAAGTTTGGTTAAAGACTGCAGTGTACCCGGTCCAGTTGTTTGCAGTACAGAGTACACTAGTGAGTGTCAGACAGTACAGCATGAACACCAGGTGTGTACTTTGTAAGTCTTTGAAGATTTTAAAATGTGTCCTACCTTTTGCCGCGTAGTAAAGACGATGTAAAAGTTGCACTTTAATCCCATATTTAATGGGACATCTCTTAATTTGAATCATGGCCGGATATTTTGGAAATCAGAATTGTGTCGACCAATAGTAATCATCTATTGGGGTCAAAATTGAAAAGTTTTCATAATTTTTTTAAGGATTTGGAGATTCACAGAATTAGATGGGAGTTTGTTTTTCCCTTTTTCTGTTTATTTATTTTCCTAAAGATGAAAAACGACTATGCCATTGTTTAAAATTATTATTTTTTATTCTTTTGAATCTAGATGAAAAGAAAATTTAAAAAATATAAAATAATGAAGTTTAAAGATAAACTCCATTATCATTATCTTCAAAACATAGATTTATATAAAAAAGTGTATTGCACATTACAAAATAACTTTGTCACGTATATTGAAAATCTAAATCAAATATTTAAATTTGGAATAGTGTTATGAAAAGTTTTTTTGAGATATTCTTAAAATGTATATTTTAAAGTTTTTCTATTTTCTAGGTAGAAGATGATGTTGCAGAATGTAGAAGTGATGTTGAAACAAAATGTAATGATGTTACTAGTGGATATACTACATCTCAGGTAAATGTGTCATGAAAGAAGCCATGCAAAAATATAGGCCGGGCCCAATCAGTTCAGGCGTTTTAAAGATTAAATACATACAAAAAAACAAGCCAATATTATATTATTATATAGGCTTGTTGGTGCTTCCTTTTCTCTTAACAATTTTAGCTTCTAGTTAACTATTGCTCATAAAGTCGCCATTTGTATTGATTCTTAAATTTTCGCGGATTATTCTATTTTAATTGCGCATTTTCAAAAGAAAAGAAATTTTCAAAATTTTGTCATGTGGGTTGCCATAAAAATGTGGGCCCGTCGGTTCATCCGTGTTGACAGCTGAACACAAAGGAGCAGTCAGACAAAACAAAACAAATAAAGATGAATGTTTTGTTGCAGGAGTGTTCTAATTGGCCAATTCAACGATGTGACGTAAACAAGAAGTCTGTAACTAAATATAGTCCTCAGACCTCCTGCCAGAAGGTCCCTGTAGAACTGTGTGGTCCCAGCTCCTGTCCCACGGTCCCAGGTCCCCAGGAATGTTTTGAAACCACTAAGACTATAATCTCGGAGAAACCTGAGGAGGAATGTTCCCTTGAGCCCAGGCAGTCCTGTAAACACGTGACTAAACTAGTTCCTCAGCTTAAACCAGCAGAGTCCTGTGTAGATGTACCTAAGGAGATCTGCTCCAGGTCCCTCAAAAACCCCAGGAAAGTTTCAAAACCCGTGATAAAGAAATGGTGTTACGTCCCGTCTGATGAGTCCGGTCTCAACCCATTCTCAGATTCTGATCGTAAACCTGACAACCAGGGGAAGGAAGAAGGTTCTCCTCCGTCTCAGGATACCTCCTGCCCTAGATCCTGTCTAGATGCTAAAACCAGGGGAGTTTGTGATCCACGGTGTAATCAATATGCTGAGGAATGTGGAGTACCGGTGTGCCAACCACCACCAACAACAACAGCACCACCAACAACAACAACAACTACCACAGCTGCCCCATCCTGTCCTAGGTCTTGTGGGTTTGGATACCAGAGCAACAAGGTTTGTGAACCCCAGTGCAATATTCCTGAGTGTGGATTTGATCCTGATTGTAATGCTCCAGTTTGTCCTAGTACCTGTACTCCAGGCTTCCAGAGTAACGGTATCTGTCAAGAGGAATGTGATATTCCAGAATGTAACTTTGATCCGGATTGTGAACCTCCTCCATATGATCCTCCACAGCCGCTAACAACACCAGCACCCCAAACAACTACAAGAGCTACAACAACAACAACTACAGCGCCAACAACAACCGCTGCTCCTGCATGTCCATCAAGCTGTAGACCAGGGTTCCAGAGTAATGGTAACTGTGAACTCCAATGCCATACTCCTGGTTGCGGATTTGACCCAGACTGTAACAAACCTCCTCCTCAACCTGAAGTCCTCTACCTGCCTCCGAAGTCGGATAGTTGTCCTCCTAACAGCAGAGGCTGCGGTTCAAACTCCCAGGTTCAAGGATTATCCGTCCCAGGACGACGAACAGGAAGAAAAACTCCTCTAACTTCTGGTTCATCAGGACTGAGATCTAGCTCCAGGTTTAACAGGAGAACCAGCACCGGGTTCAACAATTGGAACTTGTTTTTCCAGAACGGTTTGATCCAACGGCAAGGTTGATTACTGAGCAACGCTGCAGCAGAAGAATAAACTAGTCTAGAACCTTCTTGTCTGGGCATTAACCCTGAAACCATTGTAATTACTAAAATGAAGATAAATACAGTATTTTCTGTAAATTTGATTATTTTTGCACGGGTCTCACGAAATAACAACCCAAAGAATTTGTAAAGAACTTATTTTTATAAGGCCCAGTTTGTGTTTTCATTGAAAGCAAGTTTTTGTCTAGTACCAATTTTCGCAACCTCTCCTATCTCGTGCAACTTCCGCATTTGCACAGTTCACGCAGAATTCCGCGCAAAACGCGAAATTTTTCACACACAAGGAAGGGCCAAAAATGTGAAATTTTGCGGTGGATAAAAGATTTTGCGCATTTTTTCCATTCCGCTGGAACTCCTAAGCGCAATGTCCGACAATCGTGAATGGTTGATAATTAACAAATAAAATCTGAACTAGGTTCTCAATGGGTTAATCTGCAAGACATATTTTGTTTGTCTGAGTCAAGTCCCTTTGATATTTCATTACATTTTAATCAAAAAGTAAAAAAATTTTATTTTATAATAAGGATCCGTTTAATTAATTAATTAGAAGATTAATTAAACAAAATCTGATGAATTAACAAAGAACAACAATGTAAACAAGAATATAATAGTTTTGGTTAATCTACATAATTAATCTTTACACTTTATAATTGGATAATTGTCATGTTAAAAACATGTTTTAATATGACACTTTTAAAATGTTTAAACTTTAGAAAACCAGAAATATGTTACATATTTTATAAAACTACAGTGCAGTTTATCCGTCATGGTTAATTCCATTATTACAGTGCTATAAAGGAACCAATGCGTGTTATTATGATAATATAGCTTTATGTCACTATTATAGAAAGGTCCTATACATTTAAATTGTTTCTAAGAGTTCTTTAACAAATGAAATGATATTACATGATTACTAGAATAGTTTTTCAATTTGTATGAAAATAAAATTGAAATTATAACCTTTTCATTTCTGCTTCAACATAAAGCTTGTAATATCTTGAAATAATTCCACACTGTATCAAGTGCGCAATCATTTCGTTTTCATATCACGGTGCAAGTGCTGCTGTTTCAATGTTAAGGCTAACGATTAACGAACTTTTATGGATTAGATAAAGGCGAAAAGGGCTCTGCAATCTGCATGCCTTGAATTCAGAATTGTTTATTGCAATTTATAAATGAAGCTTTCCCTACAGGGATTTACAGGCAATGATGGGTTTAGCAAGTATAACGCGCAATATTAGGAACAAAAAAATCTATTTTAGATTATGATGTAAAATTCTTTTTAATAAGAATGATTTAGCTGTATTTAAAATATTACGATCCGGTAATCTCTGTATAGCAAATAAACAAGTTACGTACTTTTAGCTTTTGTTGGGAAACTGTACCATGACACAAAATATGTTTTTTAAAGAATGGATAAATTTTTCTTTTTGCTAATTAGAAAAGTAGGTTTAAAATTTGTAGTGTCCTTCGAAGAGACACCTTCAAGAGAATGGTGGAAAAAAATTTACGCATTTTCATCTTTAAATCGACGATCAAATTTTGTATAAGTATTTTTTCGGGAAATTAAACATTTTACTTAACAACGGGTTCCCTCGACCTATGTTGCCTATAGAACATCCAGAGCTTAGCGATTTATCTTCGGAACCCTTGGTAAAGATAGTTTCCTTAACTTCCTTGTTAAGTATTTGTAAATAATTAATATCTCTTGCATTTAGAAAGTAGACGCAAAACATATCTTTATTAATCTAAAATGAATCGTTATATTCTATTTTGTATACTACGCTTTAATTTGAACAACCTCTAATTTCTGGGAACTTCCCTTGAAAGAGAACTAAAATTCAAAAAAGAACTTTTTCAAACCTGCATCCATAGAATCCGTATATCTGCATTTCCGAAAACTTCTAAGTGTAAAGTGTTCTCAATCTTAGATAGAGGGTTTCTTTTTACAATTTAGATAAAACTGTTTTTGTCCTGGAATACAGTGTGTCCCGCTAAACAGGATCATCAAAAGACGACTAATATATCGTCTCTGTTCTAAAAGTTCTAAAAGTTGTAAGTTTTTGAAATTCCTAAGAGTTCAGGTTCTTATCTTATTTTCTTACAGAACTCAATTTGTGCTCCATCGTAAATAAAAGGCCCAAAATTCTTATTTGTAGCCGAAAAAATTTGCAATTCTCATTCTTTTACGTAAAATAAAAGTTAGAGGAGCTACGAGGTTACAAAACTGTACTAGTAATTTTGAAGGCCTTCTCCTTCCGTCTAGTTTGCAGTATGCACAACCCCATGTTTAACTGATAAAATTAATTTAACTAAATCAGTTAAATTTAACTTTTAAAACTATTTTTTTAAACAAAATTGGTCATTATCTGTATCAATTTAAGTATTCTGAAATTTTGACCTTTTTTTATAACCAAAGCAAAGCTTTGGTTATAAAAACTATGAGAAAAAAAGACCCCTCAAGAATCCAAAGTTATCGGAGCTCCAAAACCCCTAATCACACTTTTTTTATGAGACACCATGTATTTAAACATATAAAGTCCACATTATGTTAAATGGAGATTTTTTAATCTGAAGAGGAAACCCTTTTCTAACAAAGAAATGTCTCAGGACAATCTTTCCAACTCTACAGGGTGAACAACAGTTAACGTCCAGGATGCATTACTTTATCTGGACTCTACAGGGCGAACAACAATTAACGTCCAGGATGCATTTGTTTATCCGCACTCTACAGGGTGGATCACATATAATATCCAGAATACATTACTTTTTCCTAAATCTACAGGGTGGACCAGAATTAATGCCTGCAGGATACATTACTTTATCCACACTCTACAGCTGGTGGACCACAATTGATGTCAAGGATGCATTACTTTTGATGTTGATGTTGATGTTGATGTTATATTGATTAATTAATTAATGAGACTCCATGTAGAAAGTAGAACAAAGAGCTGAAGGTAGAGAACGGAACGAAGCAGGATAAAAACCGGATTACTTGTCTTCTCTTCCTTTATCCTTACATTTAACTTAAACCAATAAAACCAGAGAACACAAGTTGAGAAGAGGTTGAAGTTTGAAATCATTGATCTGGGTTTGATCTGGGCTTAGCCATCTTCTTGTGTTGCCAATAAAACTTAAGATCCTGATTTAAGATTAGTTACTAGTTTCTTTCAGGACTCGAAATGGAAAGGAAGCAACATATTTTTCAGGGTTTTAAAGTAAGAATTACGAATAACTAAAATTTGAATGTTGAAATATTTCAATTATTCCCTCTTCGGAAAATTTCGTACACCGTACATTTACGTCAGAAGGACTATATTGGAAATTATCATTCATTCTGAAAAAGCTCTTAGTTCTTTTATAACTACTTATACTAATTTTTAAAAAAGAATTTTGTAAAAATAATGTAAACAATTTTGTAACTTTAAAATAATCTCGATACGGAGATAATAAATATGTAGATTTTAAAAATTTTAAAAAGATGACATAATATTTTTTATTCATGATGTAAAATGTTCAATTTAGAAAGATATACCAGAATATAAAAAGAAATATTACTTTCCTAATCCTGTCAATATCATCCTTCAATAATGTCAAACAATGTATCAAGGAAAGACAATGTTTTATAATAATAAGTTTTGAATATTCCTTTCTTCAAAAATACATTTTAATCTTGCCGTTGTCAGCAGATCTGTTTAAACTTACAACTCCTCTAGAACTCAACAAGAGAATTTAAACTTTGATTTAAAAGATTAATCCTTTATGTTTGAGTTGAACCAGTCCGCGGGGAGCATTCTCTTTAAAGGGAGTGTCCACTATGAAATGTTAAAGATAGGGAACGGATTTTTTAACCTTCATATATTAAAGGAAATGAGTTTATTTATGCCACTGCACAAGATCAAACTTTGTAATCTCTATATATATTTGTTACCTTATAGCGTAAACCTTTGATAATTAAAAAATTAGATTATTTGATTAAAAATCAGAGTTTGTGGCAAAGACACAAGTCCTTTCCTTGAACTCACACAAACCTGTTGTTTATATCCTTTTCTCATCTCTGCAAAAGTTTAAAATTTATTTTATTTGAAAAATTATGGAAAATAATTGTCTGCGAGCACTGGGTTTAATAATGGTTGCTAAGTCCCAGATGAGTACTGGGGGAAATGAGTTTAAAACAAATGTTAAAAATATTCCCCTGAAAATGTTGCAAATTTAAAGGGACTGTAAGCAAAAAGTAAATTGTGTGCCTCCATTCAAAGATGTCAATGTCTGATTCCCATTCTGATATCTAGGGTTCAGAGAGTTAAATTCTGATAATTCCCATATGTTTTTCTGAAGTAGAGAAATCCAATTTAAAATAATCAGTTTTCAAATCACATCATTAATATCTAATTCATACTTGATCAGACAAACCTTTTAAAGGCACCATTTTAAATCAGGCTTTTTACATTAAAACTATGCTTACAGTCCCTTTAAACGTAATTGTTTGAGAAGCTGTGTAAATGGATCTGAGAGTATTGTGTGAAGAATATCTCTATTGTGTTGTATAAGGATGAGAGTGTGATGAACACAATGTTTAGATTAGTTCTAGTTCTAGCTTCTATCCTCATTTACTCAGGTCGATCTATTAGATCTAGTTCTAGCTTCTATCCTCATTTACTCAGGTCAATCTATTAGATCTAGTTCTTGCTTCTATCCTCATTTACTCAGGTCGATCTATTAGATCTAGTTCTAGCTTCTATCCTCATTTACTCAGGTCAATCTATTAGATCTAGTTCTTGCTTCTATCCTCATTTACTCAGGTCGATCTATTAGTTCTAGTTCTAGCTTTTATCCTCATTAACTCAGGTCGATCTATTAGTTCTAGTTCTAGCTTCTATCCTCATTAACTCAGGTCGATCTATTAGTTCTAGTTCTAGCTTCTATCCTCATTTACTCAGGTTGATCTATTAGTTCTAGTTCTAGCTTTTATCCTCATTAACTCAGGTCGATCTATTAGTTCTAGTTCTAGCTTCTATCCTTATTAACTCAGGTCGATCTATTAGTTCTAGTTCTAGCTTCTATCCTCATTTACTCAGGTCGATTAAAAATTCTCAAAAGGAACTTATAATCTAATAAAATTGAGTCTTTCTTCTAACACTATATCTTTGCAACCCAATGTCGTAGACCTTACATATTTTAAACTATGAATTCTGTTAGAGATCAATTAATTTAAGTTTGAAACATCAAGTCTTTACATCATCAGATAATCAGATTGAAAAGAAATAGAGGTTAGAAAATTTGAGTTTGTGGCTTAATTCCTGTTTTTGCAACCTGATGCAGTAGGCCCAATATAGTTTCAGTAGAAGTAAATATTTCCATTTACTGATAGCGCTGATTGAAGGATTCATATCTCTAATTGGATAATGAGATTGATAGAAAGATAGATTTTACTGCCATACTATTGATTTTGGTTCATAATAGACAACAAACACATGACTGAACTCTGATTGGATCAGGCGCTAATGGACTCGTCATACAGGAGTGGGCCTATGATGTTAAAAAGCTGTGACTTTACGGCCTAGCAAAGTTTGTAAAAGCGCTTTTGATCGCTACTAATCTTACTTCTATCTGTTCCGTCTATAAGGAGAAAATTGTTAAAAACGACTAATACCTAAGAACGTAGTGTCCATACAAATTCAGAAAGATGCAACATACAACTTTGACCGTAAAAAATTCTATTTAATTTCAAACAAATTATTCAGATATTACAACCTATAGTCATCGATTATCTTTCGCCACATTTATATAAAGTTGATTTTTCATAATATGTTTTAATTGTTATGATCTGAGAGTTACTTATAAAACATTTATTCCTGTTTTGAGGATTTTTGGTAATGAAGACGACCTTTTCTTATTTTCCAGGAATGTTCGAAAACAAGTTGTAAGCTAAATATTATTTTAAAAAATAAAATCAAAACATATTATGAAAAATCAACTATATACAAATGTGGCGAAAGATAATCGATGACCATAGGTTGTAATATCTGAATGATTTTTTTACGGTCTAAGTCGTATGTTGCATCTTTCTGAATTTGTATGGACACTGCGTTCTTCGGTATAAGTCGTTTTTAACAATTTTCTCCTTATAGACGGAACAGATAGAAGTAAGATTAGTAGCGATCAAAAGCGCTTTTTTATCGCATTAATCCTATACCCCCTTTCATTTTTCGCGAACACTCCCTTTTAATAAAACATTTTCCATCGATTTATAAATTATTAAAATTCTGTAAGTTATGATAGCTTGAAGTTTGCAATTTTGTCTTTGTGATAAATTAAAGAAAATGAATCTTTGTATATATAGCTTAATTAGATTAATTTAAGTTGAGAAAGAAAAAAAGGAAATTTCTTGTTTTTTCATTTTTTCATTATCTTTTTATCTAAAATTTGCTCCCTTGTTAATGATGCATTTCTAGCTGAACGAGGACTCTTTATACCTTACATCTCTTCTTCTGCACTTATCTAAATCAACTGCTGTAATCTCTTACTCTGAATCAGTTTAATCCGTTTAAATTCCTTGATTTGGTTTCACTGGGTTGAGATCCTTTTAAAGGATTTGTTTTTAAGGACCCTGAGTAAATAAAATATAATCAATATACATACTTTTGTTGTTTGTCTGGCCCAAATTTTGTTTGTGGGGCCTCGCATGACCCCAGAGAAGGTTTATGGATGCTCAGAATTACAAAAAGTTGTATCAAAAAGCAATTTCTTTTCATAAATAATAAATAATATTGCTTTATGCTGTACAGTAGAGCCAGATAGAGCCACAATTAAAAGTTAAAATAGAGGATGGGCACGAAGCGCCCTAAAAGCCTTGTTAATAATAATAATACACTAAATAATATTATAACTACAAAGAGAAGAAGAGAACTGATGACTCACCATAAACTTAATTTCTAAACTCTATATCTTCGCAAAACATTGTTATATATTTCAAATTATGAATTCTGTTAGATCAAATAATCTGAATTTGAAATATTGTAATGATTATTGAATTCTATCAAATACAAGCCAGATGTAAACCCTAGGGATTTTCGAGATCAATCAACTGCACCCATGGTTGAGTGTTTATGCAACTATTTACTCTAGGCCCCCCTACTCTCGTTTTAGTACCGATCCCTTAATAACCTCTTTATTCATATCTCTCAGAGTATAAATGAATTGGGATTGATCAATTTCAAAGTTTATTTATTAAGTACATCTGTATACATTTGTTTTTAATCTTCGTGACAGAAACAATCTCAAGAACTTACGAGGGTCAACCCAGACCGAAATATATTTTCAATAAATGTGGAACTAACATCTACTTTTTTTACTCTACAGAGGTTTGGTCCATCACCATCACCGAATTTTAAATACATCTGTGACGTTTATTCATCTTTTAATAAGTTCCTTTAGATATTCAGCTGCTACAGTTCAGGATGTGTCTGAGCAGCTTCCTCTATTACTCTATCTCGTTTAGCTTCTCTCAGAGTCTCTATTATCCTGGCTGCTCCTACAATCTGGGATGCTCCTACTGGGTCTTCAGATACTTCTTTAACTACTAGAGCTGCTCTTTGAGCCCACGTTATGTTAGCCGTTATTATGATCTGAGCTGCTCCTAGAGTCTCTGCTATATTAGCCTTACTTACAGTTCGAGCTGCTTCCTAAGCTGTACCTAGAGTCTTTCACCATGAGATACTTAAGTTCAGCATCTATCTGAGAAGCTTCCTTCACTCAATATCTCATTTAGCTGCTCCACTTCAATATATATCTCTTTGCAATCTGTCAACAACAGCTTCCACATTTACTGCAGGTTCATTTGCGGCTTCTACTGTAAATTTAACTGCTACTGTGGCTGTTCCTGAGTCTCCGCTAATTTAGCTGGTCCTACAATATTCCACAGCATTCCTAGCTGATTCCTTTGCTGGACTGGAAACTGGTCTGTGAAGAGCTTTATACAAAGAGCAGCGTCTCCTGCATCAAAATCTCTTTTTCTTCAACTGTTTCTACAATAGATCTGTGAAGGGATGTTCCACAATGAGTGCCGTCTCCGTTCTCAGAATCCTCTGGTTCCACCAGTGGTTTCACAACAGGTCTGTGAAGAGCTGTTCCACAATGAGCGGTGCCTCCGTTCTCGGGATCCTGGAAGTCCTAGCTCCGCTGTGTGTCTTGGATATCCTAGTTATCCTATGTGTCCTGGATATCCTAGGTCTCCTATGTGTCCTGGATATCCTAGTTCTCCTACGTGTCCTGGATATTCTAGTTCTAGTTCTCCTATGTGTTCTGTAGATACTGGACTGGGACTGCATGAGAACTGCATATACTAGTTTAAATACTGAACTCTGGGACTACATTATGACTGTATATCCTAGTTTAGATACTGGACTAGGCCTACATGAGAAATATATATGCTAGTGTAGATACTGGACTGGGACTACATGAGAACTGTATATATTAGTTTAGATACTGGTCTGGGCCTGCATAAAAACTGTATAACCTAGTTTAGATACTGGACTGGGACAACATGAGAACTGTATATACTAGTTTAGATACTGGACTGGGACTACTTGATAACTGTATATCCTAGTTTAGATATGGACCAGGACTACATGAGAACTGTATATCCTAGTTTAGATACTGGACTGGGACTAAATGTTAACTGTATATCCTAGTTTAGATACTGGACTGGGACTGCATGATAACTGTATTTCCTAGTTTAGATACTGGACTGGGACTACATGAAAACTGTATATCCTAGTTTAGATACTGGACTGGGACTGCATGATAACTGTATATCCTGGTTTAGATACTGGACTGGGACTGCATGATAACTGTGCATATTCATTTAGATACTGGACTGGGACTCCATGATAACTGTAGATGTAAACCCGAAAGAATTCATCTGAATGTTTTAATAAACTGTCCTCCTGAAAAGTTAGTATTTTTTTATAAAAAAATAAAATGTTATAAGTTTAACAATCTCAGCAGTTTTTGTGATAAGTGAGTTATGAATATACCCTGGATAAATTAGACTAGATAGCTCATGTCGTCTTCACCATACCGGAGTTATGAATATACCCTGGATAAATTAGACTAGATAGCTCATGTCGTCTTCACCATACCGGAGTTATGAATATACCCTGGATAGATTAGACTAGATAGCTCATGTCGTCTTAACCATACCGGAGTTATGAATATACCCTGGATAAATTAGACTAGATAGCTCATGTCGTCTTCACCATACCGGAGTGATTCATTTTAATTTACCTCTGTATTAGCTACGTCACTACAGTATATAGAATAAAAAGAATTGCGGCAAGTTTTGTATACTCGGTAGTCCGTACAAGTGTATGGGGTGTTTTGTTTCGTATAGAGGACCAATAATACACACAATTAAGAATGACAAGATAAGGATCAGTTAAATCTGTTTTCTACAGATTGGCCCCAAGAAGTATAACGTATATATTAACCTTTTCTTATGCCGAGTTCATGATGTATAAGGGATTGTACAATTTTCATCTTTATAGTCTGCATAAACAATCTATTCTAATAATGTATCTAGGGAATATCCTTTTTACTGTTTTCATAAAAATGCTCAGATCACTCTTGCAGCAGTTCTTATGATTTGTGTTAAACAATTGAACACAACTGTTTATGTATATATGTAGTGTATACACCACCAAAGGTATACACCCATATGAACACAACTGTATATGTATATATGTAGTGTATACACCACCAAAGGTATACACCCATATGAACACAACTGTATATGTATATATGTAGTGTATACACCACCAAAGGTAATACACCCATATGAACAAGTTTTTAATATTTTGCATATTGACTAATCTAAATGAAAAGCTGGTAAAACAATTTGTTTCAAAACAACATCAAATGCACATGAAAATATTGCATAAATGTCTTCTTTCTCATCTTTAAATGGGTCCCACGGTTAACAATAATATTCTAATCCCTATATCTTTAAACCTGTTGGTAAAAACTTTTTCAAACTTTGACTGTATGATCAAAATTCACAGTTTGGAATATCAATGGTCTACGACATCATGTTGCAAAGATATTAGAATTAGAAAATCAGAGTTTGGAACAAGAATAGTTCCTTATATATTATCTTATATAACGTTCTCTTTTAAAACCACGGATATTGATCTCGGATTTACCTTCAAATATGAACAGGGTTACCCACTCTCAGACTTCAGAGACGACTGTACTGAGTTGTTAATGTCTGTTTACTAAATGCTTCCATATCTTAGGTGTGTTCTGCAGATTACTGCAGTACACACTTAATGTAAACTTAGAGTTGTCATATTTGAAAAGTTTCAAGTCGTCTTTACAGTCTCATCCTTTTGGTTAATCCTGTACATTAGGGAACTCTATAAGCAATCTAGTAAACTAGAGTTACCAAAATTTGAAGCAAATCGGTCGAGGGGTTCAAGAGTTATGAAAGGACATACAAACATACAAACTGAGATCAATAATCTAAAGATTTTCAATGAATATTAGAGTTTTTAATCAAAAGATCAAAATATTTCGGGGAAAAAACTTATTCCCCCTCAATATGTCCAGGGGTGTTTATTTTTAAGAACTACCCCTTGATGCGAGGGGGGGGGGAATAAAAATTGGTCAAGGTTTTTCATCCTTTTTGAAACCCTAAAATTCATTCATTTTTTCCTAAAAATTATTTATTTTTCTTCAATTTAGCAAATAAACCTTACAACAAATTTAAACATAACATAAGGGGGGAGGGGGAATTAAAATCCCTAAAAAATGTATTACACTTAATCTTTTACCCAACAGATGGTTTAAGATTTTCTTTAAAAAGTAATAATCCCCTTAATCTTTTTTTTAATTTCTTTAAGTACCATACTCCAACTTTTCTCAAAAAGAATTACCAATTTTCATCAAAATAGTAATATGATAAAAAGTCCGTAATAATGAATAAAAAATGGAAATTAACATAATAGGCAAAAGATTTGAGAAATTATATATCTGAAACTTATAATTGTTTTATTAAAAAAAAATCGAAAAAGAATATAGGTCTTTAAAAGTATCGTACGAGGTGGAAGACCCTGCATTAAAATTTTTGTTAAAGAATATGATACAGATAATTTTAGCAAAAAAATAATTGTTAAAATAAAACGATTGTTTTTGACTTTGTGTTACATTCTCAATAATTTTTTTATTTAACGAACAAATAGTGTTTATTCTATTTTAATATGTTCAATTTACATTTTTCAAAAGAGCTCAGCCAGATGGAAGGTTTCAGTCAAATGCTACAGTGCATGGTGGGCCGGGGACCTGTAAGGTGGATTTGAAAAATACATATAAATACAGATTAATATTCTCCTTTATAATTCAAGTATATTTTCAAACTTTCTTTATAAATAATCATATTTACATGTTTTTAACAATTTTATATCTTTAAAAAAATATATGGTACAACTAGGATTTTATAATTTTTTAAAATTTATTTCTTTATTAATTAATTACAAATTGCATTCCATGCCTTTTCCTTCATAATTCAAATGTATTTGAACTTTTCTTTTATCATATTTATTTTTGTGTTTTACAACCTTTTTGTTTAAAAAATGATTATATTTTACAATTTCTTTGTTTTTCTAATCCATATATCTTTGCAACCTGAGCTGGGAACTTTTGAATGGTGGATATCGGGGTTAATGCTTGAGCTATTCTTTTTCTTAATCTCGAGATGAAATGATGCATGGTCTCCTCTTGTTATTAATCTCCAGATTAATTAACCGATCGGGATTAAGGGTATCCCATTCTAAAGTTTTCAGCTCTGATTAGATTATTTGTCTTACAGATTCATGTTTGAAAACTGTAAGGTCTACAACATTTGGTTGCTACATACGATAGGGATTAGAAAATCAGGGTTTGTGGCAAAGACTGAATTTCTTTAATAAGTTTTAGATCTACTTTTTTGTCAATAAAACATATTCGTAATTGCGTATTCTTAATAAGTATTAGAACATTTATTTCATAAATATAAATTAGATTCTTCTCCAACCCTTTCCTTTTAAAATGTAAACATTTAACAATTGTTCTTCATTAAGTAAATATATCTAAGTTTTCATTAAATAACTTAATAATTTAAAGGGACTGTAAGCGTATAGTTTCAATGTTTACAATTTTCAAAAATGATTATTTTCAATTGTGGTTCTCTATGAAAGTGACTTGCGCATTTATACCGTAGGAAAACATTTATAGGAAATACGACAGAATTTAACACTTTTATACCTAGAAAAACTACAATTATCTTGTTTTTGTTCAGATTGTATCGGGCAAATTACGCTTACAGTCCCTTTAAATATATATATTTTATTCAATAGAGTCCTTGCAAGATTAGTCCTGAAGGGTTTTCATACTGTGATACAATATCCCTTTTCTACAGGTTCAAAACTTACTGTTTTATTGTTTAAATTTTTTAATTTTTTAATGATTCAATTTCTTTTTGCTTCTTGTAAATTATTATCAAATAGTTGTATATATTCTTGATTATAATGATCATATATATATCAGGGATAGCTCCTGGTATGACTGGGATCTATAATATTATATTATAATGATCATATATATATCAGGGATAGCTCCTGGTATGACTGGGATCTATAATATTATATTATAATGATCATATATATATCAGGGATAGCTCCTGGTATGACTGGGATCTATGCTCTATGTGTGACTCCAATGATCCAGATAAATGTAGAATAATGAATTATTAAAGGGACTATAAGCGTAATTTCAAGTGACCTTCCATTTTAAAGGGGATATCTCTGTTTCAAAACGGTCCCTTTAAACCTTTGACAGAGCATCGAAGAAAGAGAACTCTTTGTTTATCATCTATATAATAAAACAAGACAATATTATATATGTTTCCTCTGGCCGGCCAAACGGCTGGACCGAATGGGCTGAAATTTTTTGTTGACACTCATGGGGGGTCTGGAGGTGACATAATCAATTTAAAAAAAATTATTCTCACTTAGCATGAGCATGTCATGCAACGATTCAAACCGTTACTATTTGATTTTTGTAACGATACATGACAACTTGAGGTTTTCCACTTTAAATGAAGGGTTACTTGATATTACATTCATAATCCAATTAATAATACGATAACGAGTAAAAAGATTAATGGTGATGGTAGTCTGTGTCCAATCAAAAAAAAATGTTAATCATTATATATGTTATATAACTGTTATATATGTTATATAACTGTTATGACTGATTAAGATATAACTGAAAATATTTTTATTGTTAATTCAATTAAAGGGTGTTACAATAAGGTTCCCTCGAAATGTCCTAAAAAGTAGAGAAAAAAGTTAAGCTTCGTCGAATCATAAATCCTAAAAAAATGGTTAACAAGCTTAAGATCTATTGCTGAGGGATATTCCAAAACATCCTAAAGCAGACTAGGAAGCTTACTAGGGATTGTTTACTTATTTAATCAATGGATCCAGTAAATTTTCCTGTTTTGAAAAAAATACGACAACCCATTTGAACCGGATCTTTGTTAATAAAGTAAAATAAACTCAATATTTTCATTTTCATTTGCAATTGTGATATATTGTTTAGTTTATACTCCATACTTACGGGAGTGTGCTAGGGATGGTAAATGCTCCAACATCTGGTCAAACAGGAAACTTCATGTTTACAAACTCGTCATACATTTTATATTCTTCTTTCTTTATCTAGTCAAGAAACCTCATGATTACAAACTCTTCATACATTTTATATTCTTCTTTCTTTATCTAGTCATGAAACCTCATGTTTGTACATTATCTAGTCAAGAAACCTCATGATTACAAACTCTTCATACATTTTATATTCTTCTTTCCTTATCTAGTCATGAAACCTCATGTTTGTACACTCTCCATACATGCTATATCAGCTCCATTCTTTATCTAGTCAAGAAACATCATGTTTTCAGTTTCACACTTTCCATACATTTCATATTCTTCATTCTTTATCTAGTTAAGAAAACCTCATGTTTACACGCTAACCATACATGTTATATCCTCCATTGTTTATCTAGTCAAGAAACCTCATGTTTACACACTCTCCATACATTTTATATCCTCCTTTCTTTACCTAATCAAGAAACCTAATGTTATAACACTCTCCATACATTTAATATTCTCCATTCTTTATCTAGCCAAGAAACCTCATGTTTTTCCGTACGGATGACGACATTACAATTAAGATCTTACGAAAAACTCGACAAATTAGAAAGAGAGACACCATGCTCATGTATTATATAAGTTACAGTAAAATAGAAAATTAAACCTCCATTATTATATTGAAAACATGTTTGGTTAACCCAGGGACCAAGATGCTCCTAGATGTATGACAACTCAGGTAAAATAATAACGAAGACGACTTTTAAACTGGCTGCACATTTTTAGCCAAGGATTGAAATAGTTCTCATGAACTATTTCAACTTATACCACAAACATTTTTATGAAAAGATGTTAAAATTGTGCATACTTTCACCCTGTCCCTAATTATACGGAGGACGTATTAGAAAGATGTACAGGGGTGGGTGTCCCACGACACATGACAGTGGAGAGAAGAATTGAACATCGTCTAATTGACCTTTATAAGAATTTGTGGCTTTTATATGTCAAACTAATATTAGAAGCAAAACTATCGAATTAATAAGCTCAACATTTCCTTGGTTCTGGCATTTCCAAAATGTGGTCTGCCATTTATGTGCTGTCAAAATTACCTGAATTTGAATTTGATAAATTGAAATTTCAACATAATTCTTAATATCTCCCGCGGTAATATTAAAAGCAAAAAAACTTAGGTCACATTTTGTAAATGCCAGGGCTAGGAGAGTTTTGTAACTAATATATACGTGTTACTTTTACATAGACAAATGAATGCCACATAGTATTTCGAAGATCAAAGACGATATTCAAGCTCTTTTTCTCACTGTCATGTTTCATGGGACACCCTGTATCTTAAAAACAAATTTTTATTTTCAAAATCAGGAAAACATATAAAAATATTCTGAAACTTCATAAACAACTGTTAAAATTGTATGTACCTCTCACTGTGCACTGTAGATTCTAACAGACTCTAAAATCATTTAATGTTAAAAACTGACAAACTAGTTAAAAACTGAGCTCCAGGTCAAAAACCTGTTATGTGGATTTCCAATGGATCGTTTGGAAATACAAAAAAGTGAACGTTCTAGAAAGACGACATTAGTTATGTTCCCTGGATATTTTATGTAATTTACCAAGGGGACTACTTTTTATTTCTAAAATGAAAATGAATGAAAAGATTTGTCTGTTTTAAATACGTTATAAGTATTATATTTTCTTTTTCGATATTATAACGACCTAAGAAAATGATAATGAATTCTCTGTCCTCACCCCCCAATATTAATTTCAAAGTCTAAACTTAAAAACGCCTCTGTGAAAAATCAAGATAAAAATAAAGGATTTTAAGAAGTAATTAGAAATTTTAAATGAATAAGGCTCAATAAAAAAAATATACATTTAAAGCTAGTAAAAGCAATCACAAAAGATTGTGTATTAAACCCATTAAACAGCAACGAAAGTTGATTCACTCTTTTACTCTCTCTGTATATATGAAATACGCAACAACACAGTAAACTGTACAGGGTCTGCTGGATTACTGTACAATGTGTACTGCACAGCAAGGAGAATCAAGTCTTGAATGTCCAACTTTCAGGTACAGACGTCGTATATATCATTACATTGAAGACGACTTTTTAATTCAATTTTAATTTCAACCAGTCTTTTAAACAGAAGAGACACATAAACATGTAAACAAAGAGGTCCTCATCAATTAACAGATTCTCTTTATTTACTTGCAAAATTGTAATTTGAAAATGCTTTATTAGGGATCAAAGCATTAGGAATAAAAAGTCGTCTTCATTGTATTGATATAATCGCCAACTGCTTTTGAAATTAACAGAACGTCAAATGTGAACTGTTTGCTGGTTTTTTGTGATTCAAAAACGTTTAGAGTTTACACCTTTTGTTTCTTTTATAATTTACTTTTTTTTTAACCTCAGAATTGTACTATATAGTACTATATACTATATTATAGAGGATGTGAGTCAGACTCTAATAAAACGCATAAATAACTTCCAGTATATATATTTCTTATAACTTATTACTAGAGGGTTCAGAACTAGAGTCAATATCGATATCGCATGTGTAGACTGTAGATCATGATATCAGTACTATGCCCCGTATCCGTTCTATCTCATTCTGTTAAATCTTGTGGAACTAGTTTAACGCGGAGGCATCGTCTTCCACATTATAGTATATATAGTATATATTTTGTATATATATACTATATAGTATATATATATATATATATATATATATATATATATATATATTTTGAGTTTTTAATTAAAGAAACTGCATTCACTTATTTTGATAATTTATTCTTGTTCAAGGCCGGATGAAAAGACAGGCTTAGAGCAGGGTTCATTTGGACTCTGGGTCCAACCCAATCCCAAGGAAAAAATAGAAGAAAAAGGAATAGATAATGGTAATCAGAATTAGAGGCTGAAAATAAACTAATTATTTACCTTAAATTCGATTTTTTTAATTGTTTTATATTTGTAAAATAGTTTTGGTCGAAAGAAAAAAATCTGCGAGCCTTATTTTTGTAAAAAAAAATTTATGTAAAAATCGATTGGAAAATGTTTTAAAATCTTACAAAGATGCAAAATGTACTTTCTATAGAAACAATTTTGTTATTCAAATTGTAATTCATAACAGAGAGAATAAATAAATTTTTCATGCTTTATCTTTTAAGGCTTTTTATTAAAAAAAAAACAGCTTTTAAGGTTACTGTTGTGAATCGGACATGCCAAGTTAACGGAGAGACATTTAAAAATAGTTATCATAAAATTTTTAATCGTGTCGTATAATCGTTAATTATAAGAACAATCTGAAATAATCTGAAAACAGTCTGAACAGAAATATATGGATTTTAATCATTTATTTTTAGTGAAACTACTAAATATATTTATTAAATTTAACAATATGCAATTAGTGAAAGCCATGTAAATAGTTTTAAACTATTCTATATTTTTCTTAAAGGTATAACATTATTAAAAAAAACTTTATTCAAAAACAATTCTAAAAAGATTTTGATTAGATTTTTTCTAGATTTAATAATATCTTAATTGACTGGAGCAGAAAATTCAATTTAATTTTTAACAAAAGAAAATTAAGTACAACCAAAACATGTAAACACACCATTTAATTGAAATTAGTTAAAGGCAAGAAGAAAAAAAGATTCAAGTTACAAAGGTGCCGGCAGTTAATGTAAAAAAGTTGCCATAAAAGATGAATGCAGTGGAAGTTGATATCATTGAAAGCTTGAGATTGAATTTTTAAAATCTTTGCATATGCAGTTGCAGTATAGAGATATAATGGATAATATATTATATATATATAAATAATATGTAATATGTTTAAATAAAAATAATGACTAGAATTGAAAGTTAAGAATGGAAGGAAAGGAGAAATTTAATTAGAAAATAAAGAAGAAAGAATACAAAGGGATCAATGGAGGAAAGAAAAGAAAGGGATCAAGGGAGGAAAGAATACAAAAGGATCAATGGAGGAAAGAAAAGAAAGGGATCAATGGAGGAAAGAAAAGAAAGGGATCAAGGGAGGAAAGAATACAAAGGGATTAAGGGAGGAAAGAATGAAGGAAGGAGAAATCAAAATAGAAAGGAAAAGGAAAAATAAAGAAAGAAATGAAAAGAACTAAATGGAAAGAAATGGAAAGAACTAAATGAAATGTAAGGAAAGAAAGAAATTTCAGAAGAGAAAGGAAAAGAGAAGAAATGGAAGAGAAATCCTAATATGTAGGATTTGAGGAGAGATTATGGAAAGAGAAAGGAAAGTGAAAAGGGGGGAATGGTTTGCAAGGAAGACGACTGTAAGGTTTACTGCAGGATCAGGATTGTTCCTGGACGACTGGTTCCTTCTCCTGGTACACCTGGTGTACTGAGAGTCCTTCTCCATCCATATCAAGGAGAAAGGTTACATCCAACAGATCTAGCTCTACCTACAAATAAACTGATCTAATCGATAAAGAACATCAAAATACAGTGATTTTAGATACAAATGGGTTTATTTCTTGTACTTTTTATTGTTTACTTTACATTTCAATTTTAAACAATAGCAAAAACAAGATTTCTCAGATTTTACTGCTTTCATTGGAGATAAGAAAAATATTTAAAAACTGAAATTATTTAGGGGCAAATCTAGTTTTTACCGACTGGAACATTTGGGTTACTTAACTGTAAGCGTAGTTTCAAGTGACTTTCCATGAAAAATATGGAAATGCCTGATTTACAAAGGTACCCTCTGAACCTTTGACTGATTAACAACGGTACCTAGTGAACCTTTGACTAATTAAGGATGTCAGAAATATCCTTATTTATCTCCTGAAACACTTTGTATTTTTGAAGATTTTGCTTCCAAGCTGTTTTAAGTTTTAAAAATATTAATGTTCCCTTTTTAGAATTGGCAAAAAATAAATTATTTTCTTTCGAATGTTTGAAAACTGCTTTTAACGTAAAAATTCGGTAATGTCTAGGGACATCTGTAAGGCATCAGCTGTGTTAAGTTCACACTGTACTTAGTGTACACCGTGTTTCAGTAGTTTTCAATAGATTCAAACACAGAGCTCTATTTACTCGTTGAACATTCAAAGATTTAGAGGGTATCGTTGTAAATCGAGCAATGCCCACTTAGCATGGAGGGTCACTTCAAATTATGCTTACAGTCCATTTGAATCCTGATGATATCTGTATTTACCTTTGGTTTCTGTAGACTGGGTTTAAAATATCTAAAGGCGGAGATGAGTTGAGTTAACATTGTATTTTCCTTCCCAGAATCCATTCTCTCTACAACAAGTAGATATAAAATCAAACCTTGCTATTTCTTTACACCAATCTGTATATCCTTGTATCTGTATATCCTTGTATCTGTTTATCCTTGTATCTGTAGATCCTTGTATCTGTATATCCTTGTATCCGTATATCCTTGTATCTGTATATCCTTGTATCTGTATATCCTTGTATCATCCGTGTATACATATATCCTTGTATCCGTATATCCTTGTATGTGTATATCCTTGTATCTGTATATCCTTGTATCTGTATATCCTTGTATCCGTATATCCTCTTATCTGTATATCCTTGTATCTGTATATCCTTGTATCTGTATAACCTTGTAAGCGTATATCCGTGTATACATATATCCTTGTATCCGTATATCCTTGTATGTGTATATCCTTGTATCTGTATAACCTTGTATTTGTATATCCTTGTATCTGTATAACCTTGCATCCGTATATCCTTGTATCTGTATATCCTTGTATCTGTATATTCTTGTGTCTGTTTATCCTTGTATCTGTATAACCTTGTATCCGTATATCCTTGTATCTGTATATACTTGTATCTGTATATCCTTGTATCCGTATATCCTTGTATCTGTTTATCCGTGTATCCGTTTATCCTTGTATTTGTATATCCTTGTATCTGTATATCCTTGTATCTGTATAACCTTGTATCTGTATAACCTTGTATCTGTATATCCTTGTATCTGTATATCCTTGTATCCGTATATCCTTGTATCTGTATATCCTTGTATCTGTATATTCTTGTATCTGTATATCCTTGTATCTGTATAACCTTGTATCTGTATATCCTTGTATCTGTTTATCTTTGTATCTGTATATCCTTGTATCCGTATATCCTTGTATCCCAGCTGAAACTGGTTAGTATAAAGATCAGCTGAGAACCTCTGGTATAACTGGTACAACCAACTAGCTTGATGTATAATATATAAGAAAAGATATCTTTATGTCTCTAATATTTCAGATCTGGAAGAGTTCGGAACACCTTACAATTTTATTGAAATTTGAAAAATTTTTAATTCACAATGATGTGCAAAGAAGAACATCTATGAATCTAAATGTTAAAGGACACTCCCTTGGGTTTGCTGGACGCCTGACTGAATGTATGCTGTTTGAATTATCGTACGCATATCGAGGGAAAGCTCCGTACGCATTTCGAAAGAAAGCTTGAGGGATAAAAAATATATCAGTGTGAGGGGTTCGGTGGGGGGTTGGCCGTGAATTTCTGTAAGTTTTGAGGAAAGCACAAAATTTATGTTTATCCTGGAGTATCTAGTTCTCCAGTACAATAGAGTATTAAGTTCTCCAGTATAATAGAGTATTAAGTTCTCCAGTATCCTGAAGTATTCAGTTCTCCAGTATCCTGGAATATTCAGCTCTCCAGTATCCTGGATTATTCAATTCTCCAGTATCCTGGAGTATTCAGCTCTCCAGTATCCTAGAATATTCAGTTCTCCTGTATCCTGGATTATTCAGTTCTCCAGTATCCTGGAGTATTCAGTTCTCTAGTATCCTGGAGTATTCAGTTCTCTAGTATCCTGGAGTATTCAGTTCTCTAGTATCCTGGAGTATTAAGTTCTCCAGTATCCTGGAGTATTCAGTTCTCTAGTACCCTGGAGCATTCAGTTCTCCAGTATCCTGGAGTATTCAGTTCTCTAGTATCCTGGAGTATTTAGTTCTCCAGTATCCTGGAGTATTCAGTTCTCTAGTATCCTGGAGTATTCAGTTCTCCAGTATTCTTGAGTTTTCAGTTCTCCAGTATCCTGGAGTATTCAGTTCTCCAGTATCCTGGAGTATTCAGTTCTCCAGTATCCTGGAGTATTCAGTTCTCTAGTATCCTGGAGTATTCAGTTCTCTTCAGTTCTCCAGTATCCTGGAGTATTCAGTTCTCCAGTATCCTGGAGTATTCAGTTCTCTAGTACCCTGGAGCATTCAGTTTTCCAGTATCCTGGAGTATTCAGTTCTCCAGTGTATTGGAGAAATCATTTATTTTGAAGAATTTAACGTTTTTTACAATTATTTCAGTATGAAACCGATTGGCAGGGGCGTTTGTAGTTTTTTTGTCCTAGCACTCTCATTTTTGACACTATCACCGTGAAATTTTTTTACTTTTAATTAATAGTAATTTAAAGGATTTTTTGTTAAATTTTTTTATTTTTATTTTATAGGGTGGGGTACAGGGTGGAAAAAAGTCTGGTCTGTTAAAAAAATCTAAAATAGCCCATAACTTTTTTGTGACTAAAGCTACAGATCTATATTTTTAAAAAGCCCTTGAAAAATGTATGTAGAAACATGTGTCACACTTTGATATTTGTTTAAAACAAAAAAAATTTTCTCACTTTTTAGACCCTTTTTTAGGCATTTTTTTCAACCCTCCCTAGCCTTGAAAAATTGGGCTATGAACATGCGACAAACCCCCCCCCCCCCAGGCTATACATAGATTCAGACCCCCCTGCCTTTATAGGGTTGATGGAAAGAAAACATAGTGCAAAACAGGAAAGTCAAAAAAAATTTGGCAATCTAGCACCCCCCTTCACTACCAAGTGGAAATCTCTTTCCCAGACCCTGGCCTAGCTTAGCAACAATTATTCAAGAATTAATTGTCTTCTCTGTCATAATCTGACCCTTCCTGCTAAATATTAGACCGGTTAA